AACGTCACATCATTTCAGCTGCCAGAGCGGGAAGCCAAACCGTGTATGGCTTACTGTACTAGCCTGGTCCATTTTTGATATTGAGGTTAGTGTTGAGCTACCAGATGAATTTCTATGTCATTGTGGGACCTCAGTCTAATCTCCAAACCTGGTAACCTTGCCATCCCAAAGTGTCTGTTGAAGTCCTGTGTGCGAGCCATGCCTATTCCTTATACGCTGAACTTGAGAGACTTTAGGTTATACGCCGCAAAATTTCTGGGTACCGGTTCTTGCAACGCACTCTGCAATAAATGGAACAATAAGCTGCTCTAGCTCTCATACTGGCCTCGCTTGAGATTGATGTGTACTGTGTTTCCGAAAAAATAATTCAGGATACAAGCACAATAGTTGAGCTAGCTGTCCCTTCATTCCCCACTCGTTTCCGGCTGTGCGCCTCTGGCTATTCAGAGGCCGCTGCAGTAGATTGTGTGGGTTTTGACATCGTCCCGTTGGAGAGGGTCCTTAATTGGCTAGGTACCCGTTTATAGTCACCTCTGTGCGGTTTGTCTGGCAGATTCAGGCCAGAGCCATCCCGTTCTTTGGTACGCACCTTGCACACACCAAATATTGGGTCGCACTCCTGGACATACAGCAACTGAACACGCCACTTGCAATCGAGAGATAGGCACTCGAAGTTGTGGGACGTTTCACGTACCTTGGAAGTTGTATCATTTCTGATGGTAGTGTAACAGATGAGGCCGATTTACAAATCTGCAAGGCTCGGGTCGCGTTTGTTAGTCTGAGGTACCTATGGCGTCAAAGGGGTATGTCCCTGAATCTCGATGGACGTGTGTATCAGGCTGAATTATGGGCTGTTTTGCTGTATGGCTGTGAGGTATGATCTTTACGAGCAGTGGAACTGAGACCTCTTTATGCCTTTGCCAATTGTCATAGGCGAATCCATAGTAAACGCAGTTGTTGGGCAACGGAAGCTCCAGTCGAAGAATGTAATCAGCACCACGAGCTGCGCTATTTATGCCATGTATTACGCATGTTAAATCATCGTTTACCGAAGAGTACTGTTTTCCGTGTCCAATTTAGAGTGGTGCAAACAGAGGGGTAGTTACTGTTGGGCCTAACAGAGGGAAATCAAATCGATTCAAAAAAGTCTGGCAACTATCGGTGCGATTCGTCCTCCAGGATGGAGCCCCCTGGTTGGGCACTCAGCAGGATATAGCTTCGGACCAATGGCAATGGCGTTCTTGTTATCAGTTTCTATCCAAACTGTCAGAAAGTGTCCAGAGATGTAGTACCTCAGAATGTGGTAGGCTAACACCGAGTCCTTTCCCTTTCCGCTTTTATTGTTTTCTTCATAATAAGACACAAATAAATTATGGTAGTGCGGCACTAATGCATCAGTGTTGGACACTGATGTTTTGATGTTGGTGATGATCTTGCAAGGTGGACACCGACAGCTGATGCAGGATGGGGCGGCATCCGGAAGATGGACAGTTTTAATAACCGCACGTCACGTCGATTGGGCGGATTTGTCAGGTGCTGGCTTAGGGCTAAGCGAAGACATGCGTCAATCAATCTGGATCGAGCATCAATAGCTCGCGCTTCTCGTCTCCACGAAGATTCCAGTATGACCTGGAGCATTATCTGGTGACCCCATAAATGTAGTTGTACTGGGCTTGCTTGGTCTTTATGAAGGGTTGTCTGAAGCTGTCGTGCCTTTTCATATACCATAGTGAGCGGAGCAGGAAACCAAGGACCGACATAGAAGTTGCACCACGGTCAGCAAGCCACAACAGACCGAAAGATGTCAAATATCCTAACAAAATTAGGAATATGCGAACGCTGCGAAAAACAATATCCTAAAGACAGTTTGACTGCAGGATGAAATCCAAAATAACCTCTTCCTGTTAGTTTTGTTTCCCATTTTTGAATTTCTAGTTAAGCTTCTTGATACCGATAATCTATTGGGAATTGCAAGTGATTGTTCTCGTTTCAGATGTGGTCGTCAGTGTGACTGAATCCAGGTTCATTATAATGACATATTCGGCTCGAACCCAGCGAAAGCCTGCGTTATCTGTGCGGACTCGTGCTCTAATTCACAAATATCACGAACGGATTATTACTCAGCGAGTCATGGGCTGGAATAGCTGTGAAATGCGTCTGCGTGCTCGATTAAACAACTGTGTACCATGGGAAGTTACCACCCGGTCTACATCCGCTGAAGACAGGTTCTCCAAGGTAAACTCAGACGACGTCACTTCCTTGTTGTTAGTGTAGCCAGTGAGATTGCTGCACTTGGTGGAGAAAGCCGTGCACCTGTTAGTCAAACTGGCTCGTCTGCCTGTTCTACCGCCTCCACGGAATCTGGTTCCATTGTCCAGTGTAAATGGGATGGGTGTGGAAGTTCGCTGGAACAGTCCCAGCTAGTTACACATATTCAACACGTCCACGTACTGCCCCAAATGGTATCCAATCGGCGCAAATGTTTTGCTTGTCTATGGCGAGACTGTCGCGTTTATCGTCGGCCGAGTGTGTCCGCTGCATGGTTGGAGAGCCATATTTTGCATCATACGGATGCAAAAGGAAAACCGTTCAGGTGTATTTTTGACGGATGTACTCTTCGATTCTCGACTTCCATTCTATTGGAGCGTCACGTGCAGCGTGCCCATATGCGTGTCACACGTACGCAAACAGGAAGCTTGCCAGCCCAGTTGACAAACACACTATCCTCTGTGAATGAGTCTCCAAAGCTAATGACCAGCACTGCAGGACAATCGTCTAACGGAGCTTTGGGCCAAATAACAGCGTCCCCGACCCAGAACGGTAAGCGGAGTTCACGTAGACGACGGAGAGTTCGCAACTACCGAGGTGAGTTCCGATCATTACCGTTGCCTTTCTCTTTGACTCAAACACTGCTTCCGTTCCCAGGATGATTTTTCTAGTTTGTAGGTAGTGGAGAGATTTCGAGTTTTCCAACGCTCTATCGGATATTTTTTCTTTCCCTGTTTGCAGTCTACCTTGTCACCCTGAGCTGCCCCTGTTCCTACTGAACATGTTTAGAATTTACCGTTGTTCTGTTCGCCCTACTGGGCATTTCAGTTGTATCCGAATCGCTCAATCCAGCCGGCCGAACAGCAGTCGTCTACGCGGCCTGAGCTACCTGCGTTCCCCTCAGTAGCAAATGATTGTATTTACGGCATTATACTGCCTATTCTTGTCAATTATGCGAATCAGGTCAGGGATGTCCGCAAGTAACCCGCTGTGGTGAGATTATCAGATATCACAAGTTTGAACTCTCTAGCTATAGGCTGATTTTGTTGCTTTGTGCCGCGTGTTGTTTGGATTTATTCTTCGTCGTATTATCTACCTCTTCATGAACGATGGAACGTCGACGTCTCGTTGCGCATCAACACAGAGATCATAATACAGAGCTTCGACCGCACTATTACAGTGGGTTCCGGTAGGCAACCGGAATAACGTAAATGTCTGTGTTTAAAACAATAAACGATGCCTCTTTTTGTTGCCTGCTAAAACTCCAATGAGGTGTAGAGCAAATGCACTTGAAGGTTATATCTGCCATCGTCCAAAGACCTGACACCCAAACAGCTGTTTTAGCTGCGGACCCGTATGTTAAGGTTCGGCAATGTGCAAGCAGTATATACTAATTTTCGTCATCCTGGATGGTTGCTATTATCATACTTGACGTGGTATATAACCAGTCTTGCTGGCGCGCATGCTTTCACTTCGTAGCTAATGTTTGTCTCTCTGCGTTAGACTTGATTTGGGATGAAAATCATAATGGTGCCGTTTGAGAACACGCGTGATTTCCCACTCTGAAACAGTACTATTAGGAGAACCAGCTCCAAACGTAATGGGACTACATAACTGCCAATGGAATAACCGTTTTTCGTTCAGACAGATTTCATTGGTTGTTCTTTACTCACCCTTGACAGATGTGTTGTATTCTTAGTATCACTTTTGACCGCTTGCAAGCAGCAGTGATCAATGGAGCAACTGGCTCGCACGTTCATTGACTTTTCTGGTTTGGCCAAGCGCACCAGGCAATAGTGATCAATGGAGCAACTGGCTCGCACGCTCATTGACTTTTCTGGTTTGGCCAAGCGCACCAGGCGATCAAGCGGCTATCCAGCCCGGGGTTCACGGTAATAGGAAGGCATTAAGGGACTGTAGTCCACAACAAGTACCTGAATCCGTTTACTTCAATGAAGCTTCAGTATGTAGACTTCTCTCTAATTTTACCTTAGAGGTGTTGGGTGTTTAACTCTTATTTGTACCCTTTACCAAGGTTCCCTTTCTGTATTGTTTTACCGTAGTTAGGAGCTACAATGTACGACTATTGTATTGTGGACAATATTGCAGAATATGGGTAGCTCGGGTGTGCCTTCCGGTGATATGTCCGGTGAGCTTGGCAGTCTAAATGTTGTGTTGTTGGTGATTATGAGGTTGAGGATAGTTCACTCGATCTCGTGAAGCAATCGATCAGCGCTCGTGATTACTTAACTAGATCACGATGATGTCACAAATGATATATTCTTTTGAGTCTCCAGCAGTGTGGAGACTATTGCGTCTCGCCGAATCATGATCGCTTTATCGTGTATGCTCCGCAATAATTGCGTGCCTGACTTACTACCGTGAGTGTGTCCATCCTTATTTTCATAAAGTGGAGCTGAAAATATCAATGACGTTCTTAACGACCTAAACTCGTCCAACTTTCCTTCCTAGGTTTTTTTTACTCTTTTTTGATTGTTCAGTTCGGTCAGTCTTTTGTGTGCTGTTTACATTTCAATACGTCACTTTCGTAACAAACCAAAATGTTGTGATGAGAAATACCCGTTTTGCCCTGGCTCAAAAGATAGAACAAACTTGGAACATATACTGCACTTCTTTGGGCGCTTGAGGCTGCTGTTTCTCCAGCCTGATTTCCAACTTTCAATCGCTTGACTCCGGTATCATCTTATCAGTTAACCTAATATCTAGAGAGATTCTACTCAGATATTTTACCATCACAGTGCAAATACAGTAATGAAGTAACTTTTTTACTTCCCAGTTAATGAGTTTGGCCATAAATGGCCCCATGGAATGTTGAATGTCCGAATAATATCCCGCTTCAAAAACGGTGGCTTTGAACTACTCCAGAAAAATACTTTATGTCTCTAGCGAAATACACTCATTTTCTTACTTAATGGAATGTTGAATGTCCGAATAATATCCAGCTTCAAAGACGGTGGCTTTGAACTACTCTCTAGCGAAATACACTCATTTTCTTACTTGTTTGGTTTTGACGGGATACTCACCTTCGACTGCGCCTACCTGATGAGTCCCTAGAAGGGCGAAACCGGTCGTGGGCTGTCCAAGAGCTTTCAGCAACTTTGTGGCTAGTGTATTGCGTCTATAAGTTTTTGTCTCGTTCCGATAGACTTCGTTCTAATTTTCCTCAAGTACGAGACCGTCACCGTTGGTCAAGGTGAACAATTGTGTCCATGCCTAACAAAGACTATTGCAAACACCTCCAGAAAACAATGTTTCCACCAGCCATACGGTGGATGCAGTCGGTGACAGTTCGTAGCTATCTATGGAATATTTTGTTTTGCTATGAGTTTATTAAGGATAAACGTTGTAAGAAGTCTATGTCGATCTATATTAATATTACGATTGCCATAAGTTATATACCAAACCGTAATCAGACATGTCTATTTGCCCCTGGTCCTGATTTTCTGAAGGGGACTGTTGTGCGAGAGTTGAATGTCATGGTGTCTTATACCCAGGAGGCGTTCCGAAGGCAGCCGGCCATGACTAGGATTTTTTCACCTATAGTCTCCATCCATCAAGAGGTGAAGCTTCCGTCGCCGTTCATTTTTCCATCCTCATCCGTTGTTCAGGCTTTCGATAGCCTCCCTTAACTACCTCGTTCTCCGTTAAAATGTATCTCGCAGACGTTCATTGTCATTTTTTCAATCGCTTACCGCCTCTCAGTTCGCCGACCTGATTTCTATGACCGAAGAAGCCACTATGTTATCCAGAACCGTCTGAAACTAGGACATCTATTAGGGTCCAGCGAATATACGGTCGGGTTACGATCCGATGACCATTTCCAACATCGACGGATGCCGAAGCCGTTGATGGTATCTCCTTCCAAACCTCGCCTTCGATCGGCTAATGGTTGCCCTCCTACATCGTTTGAAAAGAACACACCCTCTCCATCCTCGGAATTGCGACGGAATCGGTTGGCAATGCTTTTGACAATGCCCCACACCGTATGTTCACTTTATATGCTTGTGTCTGTTTTCTCCACGCCCCTGTGTAGATATTTTCCTCCCCGAAACTTCAGCAAAGTTACAAAATCACACTGAACTCATACATGTAGCCGACGTGTTTTTGGCCGCACCCATCATAAGCCAAAAGATGGGTGACTGTACTCTACTCATGCACCTAGCCGAGTTATGGCGACTGAAATACGTCGAACTTCGTGTTATAGGGGAGTGGTGGTAAAACCAGGTCAAACCAAAAGGACGATGCTGTACTAAACCCGCTCGTTTATTTAATCACCTTAATGAAAGCCTAACAAGTCACCCAGTTTTCTGCTGTCAAGCCAGCCTACATCGTTCATGCAGTATTGATTGAATCCATGATTGGTAACAAAGTAGTCGTACCAGTCATCACTCATGGATCAAATTTCTACATCCATGGTTCAGTCAGCTAACGCTTGCCAATGGCACGTGTTCCGTTTGTCCTAAGGTCTCCTCGCAGTTTTCCTTGGATGACTGGTGGGACCGAGACTCCCGTAACTGAGACCTAGGGATGTGAATATTTCAGTATCCATAGTGAGGACTAATTGTCCCGTGTAAAGCATTTCTGGTTGTGTTCTGTGAACACTCTCGCTTCTCAAGAGGAATACCCTCCGGTAGAGGCTTTTTGCTCGCTTAAATGACTTCTTCCAGAAGTTCTGTTGTTTGCCAGGAGACTTCTTATTGAGAAGCTTAGTGTGAATCCTCTCAGGCCCCACAGAATGGTTTGCTTCCTATCCCCAAAGTGCAAGGGCATACCACCGATTTACAGATAGATTGGAAGTTATCGTGGTGACGCAAGGGTAGAAGTTGCAAGCAATATCCAACTGCGACAAGGACTGATAAGCTGAGAATCAGCATATTCCTTTCAGGATTCTTTCATTTCGGGATCTATTGTCAACCTCAATACATACACATCAACTGAAACTTTCCGTTCGCTTCGAAGGATTCTTTCTTTTTGGGGCCGAAATCAGTGAGCGTCTCTCGTCACGTGGTCCTTATTTCACAAGAAATGACTATATCTTCTTATTCCAGCTTTCGCATAGGTTCAGTTATCCATCAGGAGTCAAGATGCCGTTGTGATTCGACTGTCATCGGCAACCTTACCGTTATCATCCGAATTTCAAACTAATCTACATTCGTCAGGATAGCCACAAACTGAGAAGCTTTCAGGTGGATGCTCCTAATTCCATTGACAAGTTGTTCGTTGGTTTCACTTGAAAGACGCCATCGAATGCGGATTTTGTGGTGTATTCTCTCACCAAACTCCTTGCTGTTGTTTTCCGTCTCGCACAAAGCACTGACATCTAAATACATGGGTGAGCCAACAAAAAGCCAATATTGAAGTTATGTACCCAGCTGAATGACCCTCAGCCAAGTGACTGCATAATGACCTTCACATTTTTCAGTTCAAATGACATATACAAGGTGTCGTGATTTTTTCCAATCAACGCAACTGGATTGCTGGATACTCTTCAGCAATCCCATACTGGTTTTGCCCTTCTTGGAGTTCATCGGGGGGCGTAGTCCTTGAGTTCCCATCAACCTTATTTCCCACCTGAATATACAGTGTGATGTTCAAGTTGGGAATAAAGTTGATCGAAACTCGGGGACTGTACCCACCTGTTGAGTCCCAATAAGGCCTAACAATAATAGCAGTCATTCAGCTGCAGCATCCGTTCGGTGCTGTGTCAACCGGATGAAGCACGAGGGCTAAGGTACTTTCAGGTTGCTCATGCCCAGACAGAGGCATTCAAAATGCAGAGGTTGGGTTCGAACCGCAGACCTTGCGGCCAGTAAGTTCGCGCCTTAACCCCTAAACTACCTCGAGGTCAAGAGGGCCTAAACCCGTAGTGGGATGTAAGGGTTTTCGGCTACCTTATAAGAAAAGAAAAGGAGACAGCTTCCTTCCTACTTTTTCAAGCAATTATATTAAGACACACCATATTCGACCACTTTTGTAGCTCTTACGGTACATAGCTCGATACTGCCTACATTCATCTTGATCGGACACAGAGCCCGATGCACATTGAATGCTCCTTGTAATTTATATCGCTCATTTTACTTTGCCTATTGCCCAACCCCTATTATAGTACGTTGGTCAACGCTTATCGGACAATAACCAACTGGAGGTCTTAGTGCGCTGGACGAGCGACTGCAGCTCCAAGTAAGTCATTCTCGAATAATGACCGATTTGCGACCATCTGTTTTGAACCAGCACATCTGTACTTAAAAACCGCGCTTCGTTCTTATCCTGCTGTACTCATGGGATCAAGGGTTTTCCCTGCATATAATGAGTATAAAACAAGTATGCAGCTGTGGCAATGTTTTGGCACCTAACTACCATGCTACCCGTAGAAAGCATGGGGGCTGAAGTGTTGCCAGGTTTCCCAAGCCTAGACGGATACAATCGATAGGCTAGGATCGGGTTCGAACCGGATGCAGATTCACGAATAATGCAGATGCGTTGGCATGCTTATTTTTCAATGCCCACATACAGCGCTTTGCGTACGGTTGCTACTCGCAGTCAGTGCATCGGCTGCGAACGCTACACCAATAGTTATGGCAATACTAATTGTCACGTGAAAAGTAACTACTACGTGCTATCACTTGTTGCTTCAAGTAACACCTGACAATGGCGGAAGGTACGCTAGGCAAGGGCTGGTTTAAGAAATTTTGACTTTTTTTGGTCTGGGATTCCCGTTTACATCATGAACTGGTGGATGAGATGTTAATAGCCAATACCCCTTTATTGTTGAGTAAATAGGAGTTGTGGGACTGTCGAGCAATGTCGTTTCGACCAAAGAAGCTTGCAAGCTGATCCTGGAATTCATGTTTTCGCTATTAGGTGCGATGAACCTCACCACTGGCAACAATAGACGACACTTTCCCATTGATTCCAGCTTAATGACCGCGTATTTTGGAGTAGCTGTTCCATCCATCCTCATTTCATCGGTTTAAACATACCCGACAACGAATACAGTGTTCTTGTGTACTCGATAGCCACGTGCTAATTACTACCTCCAGCATCGTACGCGCACTCATAACAATGGCTGTCAGTTCGAGTACTGGTTTGCTTTAACGGAGTCTTCGTGATCTTTTCGTTGCATCTAGAGATCACTCATTTTCTGTTTTGCTAGCCAACCTCTATCCACTTGGGTACCTGACGAAGAGCTTCAGGCTGCCGGTCTCCTCGGTTCGATGATGTGAAATTTTACTTCACGAGCGCCTTGCCGCAATTTTCGACAATGTCTTTCCGTCCGCCTAATTTTCACGTCTGCTTTTGCCAATCGGTCTTTGAGGCCGAAGTTTTGCAGTGAACACTATATTCAATGTCATCTATACCTGGCTAACCTGAAATCCTTCCAACTTGTGCAGAATCTGATCTCATGGCGTCACCGAAAGGTTATGTCATTACTCAAGCCGTTCTCTTTTCTCCCACGTCTGGCGTGAGGCCGAACGTGGATTGTGTTATCTTGTTTTGCCCATCTATTGTTTTATTCTTTCTGGTTTAACTTCTCTCTCCATTGTTATGTTGTTAATTTGCTTTGTACACAAACACTGTTGACCTCATTCGTCTAACTAACTTTGGTTAACTTCTTATGTATATGTTGTTTCGCCGCTACCTGCCCGCCAAACCACTCGCGTTTCCCTGTCACTGCTTTACATTTGCTAGGTTTGTTATCTTTGCGTATCAAATGAATAATGTTTTCCTTCATCTGCGTCCTTTCGTTTCCATTTCAAGGATGACAGTACTCATGAGCGCTCACTGTCCGGATGCCAAAAAGATCCCGTTCTCCAATACGATTCCTTCTTTGGTCAAGGCGAATGTTGAAATACTTGGGAGTGAACTCAGATCAAAGACCTCCCCGTTGTCGAACGGTTGTTCTGTCGACTAAATTAACGAGAGTGCTTGCTCTCCATCGCAGTCGTAGATTTGAACTCATTTCATTCCACCTTCGGCTAATGGATAATAAGCCATGTATATGACTTCCTCAGTGGACCAGTAGTTGACAAGATCCAGATACTCACGGGGCATTGGTGTGAATTGTCACAAAGTACAGGGACTCGGTAGATCTTGATATGGGACACAGCATAAACGAAGTTTCACATCCGGCACCACTAGCCTCACTTATTGGGTAGGTGCTGTATCACCCAGGCTACTGAGGATGCTTGTCCTCCGTCACGTTTATGAACTTGAACTTCACACCTTTGCTTAACTCACTGACAGTTGGTATATGTCAGCATCACGAGCCCTTTTCAATACCCACCAAGCACCCGTCCAGTTTATAACAATGGATGAACAATGATGAAGTTTCATCCACCCCGCCGTCAACAACCACAATCCAGCGTGAGCTATCAAACCTCTAGCGCGACAAGGCATCTGGTACGGATAGCCTACAGCCCGCAATCTTCAAAGAAGGTGGCGTGGTCCTGGTGACAGTCTGACAACTATAATGCAGATTTGGAACGGGAACAGAATACTAGTCGAATGCAGCTCTTCGACCAGTCTTCTAAAACGACACAAGAACGTCATGCAAAAATCATAGTGGCATCAGCCTGGTATAGGTTGCATATAAGGTGCTTTCCGCAATTATTTTGCGTAGGTTGATCGATTATCGAGAGAAAAATTCGAGAGGATTAAGCTGCGTTTCACTCTGATCAAGGGTACATCGACTATGTCTTTACCTTGAGACAATTTTTCAAGTGCCACTTGACACGTCCCACGTTGATCGTTTTTTCTTGTCTGAAAGCCTACTTTGATTCTGTCGATCTTCAGGAACTTTGTCAGTGTCTGGCGACCAAACGTACCCCTTCCAAATTTATATCCCTTATGAGGGCTCTGTATGCGAACTCCTGTGGGTGCGTACAGGGCACCCGAGTTCATCAAGCCCAGTGGTTTTAGACAAGGATACCCTGTCTCACCGTTCCTTTTCAACTTTGTTATTGATATGCTACTTGAAATTTCTCCTATCTTTGAAACCTCGTGGGTCGAAATGCTCCTGGGACGTTCCATCACAAACAGTATGCGGACGATGTTGCACACGTTGGTTCAGATCTTTCAAAAATGCAAACCATTTTAAACCTAAATAACTCTGCCACACAGTTTAGCATGCGCTTCACACCTGCAAAGTGTATAGTGCTGCTACAGGATTGAGTAGGATCAAACCCACTTCTCATGCTTGCAGACGAGCCGGTCGACGTGCCTACAGGTGAAGTAGAACCATGGACGGTGAACGTGGAACCACCTACGGCTTCGGAGGTTTACCAGGCTGATGCCACTATGATTTTTACAAGACGTTCTTGTGTAGTTTTAGAAGACTGGTCGAGGAGCTGCATTCGACTAGTATTCTGTTCTTCTTCCAAATCTTCTGCATTGTAGTTGTCACACTGTTTTCCCACCTGGGCAGTTGTGTAAGTCCCGACGAACTGTCTGGAGGTAAGATTTTTTCGAATCGGGGAAACCAGGGCGGTTCCTGCCAGCCTCCAACACCTATGGCGCCGACGTGACGTGAGTTTGTCTGTCAGTGAGGGTTTACGCTGCGGCGGGGCGACCCATACTGCTTTATGGGTCAGAGAGGTGGCCTCTACGCGCGGAGGACATGCGGAAGACGTCAGTGTCCAACTATCGGTGTCTCCGCAGCATTGGTCAGGTCTGGTGGGAACATCAGATCGGTAATGGTAAGGTAAACCAGATGGTCCTAGGAACTCTCGCGCGATAGCTGAATTACTCACGCTTCATAGTTTGCGCTGGTTAAGAAACGTACTCCGCGTGTCAGAAGACCGTCTACCTCGCAGAGCTCTTTTCGCCCAGCTCTGTGCAGAGTAGAAGCGACCAAGAGGTTGGATTTGTATGACCTGGTAATCTCGTATGAAAACACAAACCAGTAAGCTAAGTCCGGTCGATACCTGCCGCCTCCCTGGATGGGGACCCCGGGACCCAAGTCACTAATGGTTAATGACACTGGCAGAAATGACCCAATCGTGCAGTCAGCGGCGCTCGTGCATCAGAGCTATCTCTTTCGATTCGTATCTACCCAAATCCCGGATTAACTTGACATGCCATCGCTTCCAAGGGTTTGCTGTATACCCCCACTTCCTGGTGACGGGAATCACAGCAGCAGGAACCAATGTGTCTATGGTACGCGGTCTATAACTGATAAATTGATTGATTAACAGTAGCGCAGCAGTGAACAGGTATGTCCGCTTACTAAGAGCCATCAGTACCTCATGCCGTTAGCTCTGAAGCATGCAGCAACCGATTCTACATTATTAGGAATACTAATAATCCAGTGAGCTACTACGGCTAGATGTGAAAAGATGAGATTTTGAAGTTGTTCGACGGTTAATTAATGCGGTGATTCTTTTGCCGTGTAGACGTAATCGCTCATTCAGTGGTGGCTCGCCTATTGGAGGAATATCCACAAGACCGGTCGAATTTCATTCTCTTCACTTCTACGGAAACCACAACGTATCCCCACTCCGGTCTTTGGGTAGTCAAACAACTAAGGGTAAGTTTCCAAGCAGGGTAATCGGATCAGTTTCTTTCGTCCTCGAACAGTTTCTGAACTCTATCGACCCTATTTCGGCCGTCTGAACTCCTGACACAAGCTGCCTCAGTGGACTGAGGGCGGAAATCCGGACACCTCGAAGGCTCTAGACCGACACCACAGCGTCGTAACTCCGCTCAAGGCGGTCCGTCAGTGTTTACCGACAGCATTTTCAGATTTCCCTTTAGTTGCTGCAGGCCCGTAGTGACTGTATGGCTACTCAACAGATACTGTCTTAAAAGTGAGGATCAGGCCGTTTTTTGTCTAGTCATCCCGTGCACTGCAGAGTATTACCGCAGCCCTCAGCTGCGAACCCAGCAGAGTTTGAAGCACAGACTGGTCGGTCGTATATCGGGTGACAGACCTTACTGGGCTGGAATTGAGAGCAAGAAGTCTGATCCAGGTTAGCTCAGCTACGAAATGTGCTGACCTGTCATCCCGTTCGAATGGTGTGCATGATTGAAATAAAATGGTGAAGAGGCATCCAGAGGGTCACAAGTACTCTCGCACGTGAGCGATAGCATCTAACCCAACTGCTGTAGCACTAACTCACCCACGCAGACCAATGAATATTGAAAACGACAACCTCACATGGAGTGAACCAGAACAGAATAACTGTACCATAAATCTGGTCGAAATACAGGCGATCGGTCGCAACACTGACAGCCAGAAACTCTTGGCCGATCCTTAGATTGGTTTAGCCTATTGATTGGCGTTCTTTTTGTCTTATAACTCAACCAAACTACTAAATTAGTCACTTGGTCTGGCGAAGACTTGTCGTTGGCCAGTAGCGAACTCACTGATTCTTATCTAATTGACTTTATTTCACATGTCGTTCAGCAGAGAATGAACGCTGCAGCTGAAACTAATGCAACATTGAGCCACGACTGACTGAGTGGTTAGTGAGTGGAGGTTCGAAAGATCACTCATCTCCGAGATCCCCAAACGGAAGACCTTCCAATTAGGTGACAAAAGTCACAGGTGATTAGGTTGTCCACATTTCTACACTGCTCCTGATACGTATATACAAAATGCAGGTTAAAAACTAATTCTGCTCTGAGGATTGAGAATCTAGTTTGGGTTTCAAAAATACCCGATCCAGAACCAAGCATTTGGTAGATTTAACCAACTGAACAGATGGTTGTGATAGTCGCGCGGAAGAAGGAGGACCCAGAGGAGTGCGTAGTTCAGCCAACACAGAGCCATCCTCTTCTCGTGCGCGAGGCTCGATAAAGACCATGGTACCGAGGACATCCTCGTATCGGCCTTCAAAAACTGCTGGGCCAATCTGAAGCGAATAATAATGATAGTTAAACACATAATATACGAAAGGATGGAAGCTTACATAGTTTCCAATAAGTCAGTCTACAAGCAATAGCCACAAATGCATGGCACGGCACAGCTGATGAAGTAGAATACCAGAAGCACTGTCATTGTGATATTACGTCTGGACAGTTTATTCAAACAAAATCGTCATAGCGCCACTCAAGAGACCAGAGACCATCATCATCACCGTGAAAAACAACATCAGTGTGCCGCATTGATACTTCGCTGCCGTACAACCATAAATTATTTGATAGCGTTATTGTGAAGAAACGAATAAAACTGGATCGGGATGGAACTTAGCGCTAGTCTACCATAATTATTCCGGGGTGCTTACAAATCCAAACACGCACCCAAGAAATCTGTATAGAAATTGTCGAAAAGAACGCCATTGACATCGATTAGCAGCTATATCTCGAAGCGCCTCCAATCGGGCGCAGTGGGGATCACGTGGTCCCCACACTAGAATGCGAGTAGCACCGAAAGTTTCGTAATCTATTTTATACAACTTTGACAGGTCAACGATTGGCCACCGCTTTGGTTGCGTCACTCTGAATTAGGCACGGAAAATGGCACTCTCTTCGCCAAATACTGGTTCGAAACACACAATACATGACCTAACCATTTGGTCTTGGGAACTCTTTGATCGCAGCTCCGCTACACAACCAAAAACTCACATCCAAATCGCCTCGTTGTCGATTTGTAAACGTTTCGTCACCATTCCAGGAGATCCACCTAACAGCGCATTGAAGATGACTCCTCGAGTGGTGAAGAAACGCCTGCAAATCAATTACAAGCTCGGCGAACAGATCAACAGCACCCGAGCTACCAATATTCAAACACATGACTCATCATACCTAACTGACGGGTCTACAAGGAGAGAGGAAGTACTGGGGTCAGGGAAGGAGGAAGAGAAAGCATGTGAAAACGGAAGAGAGACGTCAGCAGTAGCGTGTTTTCGCTTACCCACCCTGCTGTATGCAGCAAGTAAGGCGACTCCGCTGATGGTGCCACGTGGCAACCGATGTGGCATAAGTTTATTTGTATAAGTGTAATTCATTGTTGTCCCTACGCCGGGATACCGTCAGGGCGCCCACAATTAGGAGGGAGGACGGTTAGGGTCCTCAACCAAAGCCTTTGGCTCAAAAGTCTGACCGCAAGGCAGCGGTGATTGGCGGGAAATGTGGATGCATTACCATTTTTACGGGACAAGTCGGCACATACGTTCTAGACCCCAACCTTGAGTGCCAGGAGACTGCGTTCATCAGACCTCCAACCATTGGTGGACCTGGCATTAGGCTCTGCAAGCGTCTCAAGGACACCCTCAATATAGCTCAATGGGTCGCAAATGCACGCGAACAGTCCCATCACGTTGGAGTCCAGTTTCTTCGTGTCGGAAACCACTGATCAACTTCACCTGGAGATACATTGAGTCAATATAGCTGGGTCGCAAATGCACGCGAACAGTCCCATCACGTTGGAGTCCAGTTTCTTCGTGTCGGAAACCACTGATCAACTTCACCTGGAGATACATTGAGCGTTAGTCGGACTGCATGGTGTCTGTCCAATTTGACATGCTCGGTTGCATTTAAACTTTGGCTTTTCCGTTCAAAAATGCTTGGTCTTCATATATTGCTTTCCCTGGGGTGAACAGTAGTCGTGTACCCAAAAGATGTCATAGTCCAGCGGTCCGAACTTCTTCCAACAGGTTACTGGGGGCACAACCTGTTGTGAGAGGCCAGCTCGTTTGATTGAAAGCCTCCTACTTATTCAAATCTGTGAAACTGAACTCATAGGTTAGAGGCAAATGTGGTTTGATATCGGAGTAAACGAAACTACAACAACCACCCAGGAGATTACCAGCACTAACCTAGAACGTCTGCAATATTCAGCAAACGAGCTTCCATTAACTGTGGTGTAATTGTCTGTCAAGAGACAATTGAAAAAGTATATTAGAAACAACAACTTGGGGACGGAAACTAATGCACGGCAAAACTCACCTGTACCAATGGGTTCGCACTGTCCAGGTCTGCAAATGTTACTGGATTGTTGGGAGTCAGAATATCGGCCTCCACAACACCGTGACAATCGGCAAACACTATCTCCTCATCAACCAATTCCCATTCATCATCCCCAGCACCAATAGTCGGATGTGAAGTTGACTCAGACTTCGGCTCTGTAGGTATAGGAGACCCTTCCATTGCGGATGTCTTGGAAACTTGTGTCGAACCAATGTGGGATGGTAATTGTTCAGATTGTGGAATACGGTCTCTGGGTGGAGGGTTACCCTTCGTTTCGGGATACATACACACCAAGGCACCACTAAGATGGTGAGACAATAGATTGGGAGGTCCATTCATCAGGATTGATATCATAGTCCCGCATGCTGTTATCCAACATCCACCATCGGCCCATGAATCCGCAGTCGAGCAACCGATCTTCGACAATATTGGATAAACGTTGGAAGCCGCGCTCATTCGGCCGATCGAAGAGCAACAGACGAACAAGGCTAGTGAACGGTCCACCCCCGTTAGCAGGGAAACTATACTTGCATGACTCGGAATAAAGTTGAGACGACTCTGTCCTATCGTCACGCCACACAACGGCCACCAAGCCCAAATTGCTAACTCGCAGGAGTTCGCGGGACCAAAGATCAAGGCGGCGATGAACATGCTCTGCACTATGGGGATTTCGCAACAATGTGGGGACTTCCCAAACGTCCACACAGGAATGGATAAGAGCTCGGAAGTAGTCATCTTGCGAAGGACATAAATATGCTGTGGTGCCCAGTCCCGCCAAACCCAGACACCACGCCGTTGAACGCCCAGGGTTTTGACGAATGCTTTGAACCGTGTCTCGTCCAGCTGCCATATAGTCGTTGCCAACCAGTTTTGCATAGCTAACTGTGAGGGCGAAAAGATAGAAACTAGTAACCAACAGAACTAACACAATGAGAAAGAATGGTAAGTGTTTCCGGCAAACACACTCATTTGCAAATCAAGTTGGTTGACAAGAAAAACTCGACTGAATCTCTCATATATGATATTCTTCAACTACCACACTCCTTCGGCTAATGAAAAGCACTCCGTCGCCACAAGCAAAGACAAGCAGCGATCAGGGCGCGAATTAAATAGATCTGCATCTTTATCTAAGGGTGACAGCAATGCTTGCGGTTTTGTGCAGGAGACAACAAAACACTGACATCATGAACATCTACTAATTGGGCTCTAAGGGTGGTATCAACATCACCAGACACAGTAACATCAGTGTTGACACTGATGCCTTGCTGTAGTGCAACAACAAGGTTTACCTAATTATATTTAAAGCCTTAGGAAGAAAACAAAATAGTTGGTGGTGGGAGGCACTTGGTGGTGGCCTATCGCAAGCATTCTGAAGTGCCTATATTTCCAAACGCTCAGTCAGCCAATCTGGAAAGAAACTGACAACACGAACACTAATGACACCGATCATTCACCATTTCTTGCGATGTCCTAGAGAAGGGTCATTGGGACCCCATTCTAGAAGGCGTACCGCATCATCATCATTATCAGCTGTAATAAACGCGTACCCGTCGTATACTGGTTGTAGCTGCCGCAGTTTCGTTCAACGATGATTTGGGGGTAGATAGCTGTGCACTGCAGGCGGGAGAAAATAAATTGGTGCATAAATCCAGCACTGTCAGTTGGCTGTCAGTTGGGGGGAGTGGGAAGGGAGCTATGCATTGGGGGCAATAGCTTGGATGGATGAGTGCCATTGAGGGCGCGTACCGCACCTCGGCCTAATTGTTATTGTTGATAAAAATGATGGACAAACGGTTCAAGATGAATACAGACATGTCACACCTATGAAATACCAGTCTCTAATTTGCAGTTCGTTATCATACCATGCAAACAACTTGACCAGCCGTCCACTACCATTGGTGGGTTGAGCAGCTATGCCCGTCAAAAACGCATCTTGAGAAGAAAAAAAGCGACAGGAAGAACATCACCGATATTTATCAGCCGCTATTTCATGCAATGTTTTCAGCCAAGCAAAGGAGTTACTAAGACCCCATTCTGGAAGGTGGACAACATCAACACCCAAGCTCTTCGTCATCTCTCTCGCACCCTTCTAGCAAGTCATGCGTTGTCCAACTCGAAGTTTGTCATTCTGAATGAAGCAGGGAACAACGCCAGTCTTTGTAAATGGTGTTTCGGCATGTGTAGCACACCACCGAGCCACCGTAGTTGGTGGTGCGGGATGTGTTTCGCTTTTGAAATACACGTTACACAAACAAATACCCGTTTTCTAACTACATCGTTACAAATTCGTTGACGCCATCCGACACCAACAACGCTTCTGAGTCATCAGCGATCAAAAACCTGAAGAGGCTCGCAGGGACCCGCAACCATACAATAATACAGCCCTTACTGTAGTATGGTATACACGGCCTTCAAGACCCAGTGATAAGCCTCCTTGACGCCACAAGAGACGCCAATTAGTAAATGTGATTCCGGTCTTTTAGATTCGTGTACTGACTTCATTAGGCACATTTCCGCAAGAGCTTATACAGCTACCAAGGTATGTAAAAAATTTTCCACAACCTCCGGTGCTTCTCCTTGAAATGTAAGAGGTATGTTGCACGTTCTCAAGCGTGACTTCATGCCTTGAAAGTGAAAAGCGCGTGCCAAAAGAAGGTAGTCAGTCTATTCAACAAGGCTTGTGTTTCGCCTTCGTTTTCAAAGATGAGGGCGATATCGTCTGCGTGCTCCAAGTCGACAAGATTCTCACCAGAAACGATTCGAACACCGGTGCTTTGAAGACCTTCCGCTGTTGGTCTCATTATTTCACCGACGAGGAAGTTAAACAGTGTGGGGAGAGAGATAAGCTTTTAAACAGCCCATCATATACTCTCAAAGGTATCTGGATACAGGAACTGGATTACGTTTATACTTCCGTGGCATACCCCGTTGAGCAAATGTGGTTCGCTAGGTATGACCCGATGACGTCAGTGCTCAATACCCAGTGAACCAATGGAAACGCAGTCAGGCACTACTCTAGAGTCAAGCAGATGTAAACCCAAAAGTGTACAGTCACTAAATGCTTCTCGAAGATAGAAATTGGAGAAGACAAGCGGTTTACACAATATTATGAAAAAATACTAAAACATTAAGACACTCAATGCGAATGCATTGTTTGTAGTGCTTTCAATAAGGTTATTCATCACCCGGAAACCCGGTACTGATGACAGGAATGAAGTTGGCCACAGCTTACCAATTTTGTTGTTGACGTTCAATACAACGGCTTTAAACCAATGAACAATTGAAGGCATTCCTCATTCATACCGGGAACAGTGGACAGGAATGAAACGAAAATCAAGCCAAACTTATCACTTCTGAAGAAGTGCTTCGGACATGTAGATTCTCTGAAAAGTAGACACCTGGATAGATAAATCGGTTGTAAAGCAGCAGAAACAGGAGCAACAGCGGTAGGGAAAGCATCAACATCAACCATAATGCATTTGAAAGCCTTAGAGTGGAGAAAAGAATTAAACTGGATCAGGAAGGAAATGGCCACCAGCCGGCGCTCATCTAGAGCTCACAGGTGAAGTAAAACCCCAGACAACTGGGAGAATCGGTGATAGTGCCCATTTTCAAAAAAGGGGCGCGTAGTGAGTGTGGTAACCACAGGGTATCAGCTTGACCCCGGTTGTAACGAGACTGTTGGCGTCAGTTGTGCTTCGTCGCCTTACGGTGGCTCGTGAGACACTGACTCGAGAGCA